TGTGAGGGCCCATCTCTTGGATACTTATGAAATGGAACGTGAGGTGTGAGAAAGGACCAAACCTCCACTTTGTTCTGCGGCTGTTGTCAGGAGTTGGCTTGGCCTGTGTCCCGAGCATAGCACAAAGCCTGGGTGTTACGTGCCATTCCTCGGTGCTGCTTACAAAGCCCTCCCGCTGCTCTGTCGTCCCCCTTGACCACAAAAGTAAAGTGTGCTGTTCTCTAATACTGCAAAAACAAGGCACCGGCAGATTTTAAGCTGATAAAAAAACCGGTAAAGTTGTCATTGTATATGCCTTTTAGGATGGATTGAGATAACATATCCCAGGGTAAAAACAAGAGTGAAATAGTTCTGAGAACCGTGAAACTGTCATCCTCTTTCTAAATGACTTAATCCAACAGACAGGTGGTTTTTAATCACGGATCCCCTTCATGTGAACACCGTTTTTTTTTCCTTTTTTTTAAATTTTTTTATTTTTTTTTTGAGTCAGTCATGGTCTGTCTCCCGGCTGGAGTGCAGTGGTGCAATCTCAGCTCACTGCAACCTCTGCCTCCTGGGCTCAAGCGATTCTCCTGCTTCAGCCTCCCGAGTAGCTGGGATTACAGGCGCCTACCATGGCGCCCAGCTAATTTTTGTATTTTTTAGTAGAGATAGGGTTTCGCCATGTTGGTTAAGCTGGTCTTGAACTCCTGACCTCAGGTGATTCACTGACCTAGGCCTCCCAAAGTGCTGGAATTACAGGCATGAGCCACCACGTCCTGCCAGCGTCTTTTCACTTTAATCATGTAAGGAGTGCTACCACTTACAGGCTCCACACTGTTCCTTTCGTCATCATTTTCCCCAATGACTGGTATGAAAAGTTTTTTTTTTTTTTTGAGACAGAGTTTCGCTCTTGTTACCCAGGCTGGAGTGCAATGGCGCAATCTCAGCTCACCGCAACCTCCGCCTCCTGGGTTCAGGCAATTCTCCTGCCTCAGCCTCCTGAGTAGCTGGGATTACAGGCACGCGCCACCATGCCCAGCTAATTTTTTGTATTTTTAGTAGAGACGGGGTTTCACCATGTTGACCAGGATGGTCTCGATCTCTTGACCTCGTGATCCACCCGCCTCGGCCTCCCAAAGTGCTGGGATTACAGGCGTGAGCCACCGCGCCCGGCCTGGTATGAAAAGTTGACTTGAGACCCACCCAAGGTCAAATAGCTAGTAAGTGGCAGGACTCAGATATGAACCCAGGTAGGAAATTCAGAAGGATCTAAAATAAAGAGGATAGTTGGAGGCCGAAAAACCCCCAAACACAAGAAGACCCAGGCACTCTGGGGTGGGCAGCAGTATAGTGTTGCAGGATGTGAGAAGGATTTCGGCTCAGCAGGTGTCCTCGTGGCTGGGCCTCCTCCATGCTGTCTCCTGGGATATTTGGGCCATTGTAGGTTGGGGTTTCTTTTCTGCCACCCTCCCTTCTTCCATTCTTCTTCCCTCCTCCTTCTCCCTTTATGTTTTCCTTTTCTTCTCCCAAATTTTCTCTTTCTTGCGTGTGTGTGATCTCCCCTCCTTCACTTTCTTTCTTTGTAATAGAATGTCCCATCTATTCAGCCAGCTGCTGATCCTAGCCTTTGAGCTTTGAGCATTTTTTCTTTTCTTTTTTTTTTTTTTTTTTTTGAGACAGAGTCTCGCTCTGTCATCTCCCAGGCTAGGGTGCAGTGGCGCAATCTCGGCTCTCTGCAACCTCTGCCTCCCTGGTTTCAAGTGATTCTCCTGCCTCAGCCTCCTGAGTAACTGGGATTACAGGCATGTGCCACCACACCTGGCTAATTTTTGTCTTTTCAGTAGAGACGAGGTTTCACCGTATTGGCCAGGCTGGTCTCGAACTCCTGACCTCAAGTGATCTGCCCACCTCAGCCTCCCAAAGTGCTGGGATTATAGGTGTGAGTCACCATGCCCAGCCCCTTTGAGCAAATCTTAGCACATACGGAGAGGCTGTTCAGACAAACCTAAACATGGTCCGTGTTTTTTAGGAGTTTCTCCTGCACATTCAGTCTTGTTATGGGAAGCAGCTTCCCCTACTCACACAAACTGTGCAGCCTGTAGCATCACCTCTGCTCCTGAACCAAACATGGAGTCCACACCCTAACTCTAAGGGTGCTTGTAAGGATCATTAAGACATAGCAGTAATAGAGACACTCAACTGGGTGAGCCTGTTCCTCTCCCTCACCCAAACCCCATATTCCTCTTGGGGGGTTGTTTTGGGGACCACTCCTGGTACCTGTCTGACCTCAGGACGCAGGCCCTGGAGTCCTCTGTGCCCTGTACACCCAGTAGGGTGCAGCAGACAGTGTGATCAAGACCTGCCTCTAGGAAGGGAGAACAAAGAAGGAGAAGAGCTATTTAAGGAAGCAGTTCAGCAGCTGTCTTCAGTGTACAGAAAAGTCAGGGAGAGGCCACACCTGGGAACCAGGATGAAATTCAGAAGTTTCATGAAACTTCCACACTGTTCTCTGGTACCAACCTCTGTGGCCACCAAAGCCCATCAGAAGGACGAAACCCGTATTCTGAAGCAGGAGTGGGTCTTCGGGGCAAGTCTTTGTTATCCCACAATCCACCTTCTTCCCACCTCGGTCAGTGATCTCAGCAGGATGCTGAAACCAAGGCTGGCACAGGCCTGGCTGGCAGCCCCGCCTGGGGTCATTTCTTCCTCCCTCGCTGCTGGCCTGCCCTACGTCAGGGCCCCCACCTTCCTCAGGGCTTTCGGTGCATCTGGGCTTGATGGTTTTCTGTCTCTGTCTCTCCAGGGCCAGGTGTGGATTAATGGCTTTAACCTTGGTCGCTATTGGCCAGCCCGGGGCCCTCAGCTGACCTTGTTTGTGCCCCAGCACATCCTGATGACCTCGGCCCCAAACACTGTCACCGTGCTGGAACTGGAGCGGGCACCCTGCAGCAGTGAGGATCCAGAACGATGTGCTGTGGAGTTCGTGGACAGGCCAGTTATTGGCTCATCTCTGACCTACGATCGTCCTCCCAAACCTGTTTGATAAAGACTCATGCCCCCACCCCCAGAAGAAAGATTCATGGCTGGACCATGTATGATGATGAAAGCCTGCGACTTTGAGGGATTCTACCCTGAATATATCCTACTCACAGGTCCTCCCTGTCGTGCCACATTTCACTGATTGGAATATGAAACTGGAAAAGGAATTAGGGTGTGCATTTTCACCTGAGGCTCCCCTGCACCCCTGCAGTGCCTAAGCCCCACGCTCAGGGACCACCTGGGACGTGGGAGGGGCCGACAGCTCCATAATGCACATATGTATCTGCAGAGTGGAATGGAAGCTTGAAAGGTGGTATTGATTTTTATTTTGGAAGAACATGTTGCCTTTTTGTTAAATAAAATTTGTTCTCAAATGATGATGTCACTGTTTTTAATGTGCAGTTATTAAATTGCGTGGTCTGACTTAAATCATAACTAGACTTGAGTGGGCTGAATAAACCACTAACTTGGAGTTCAAAAGGATGGAAAATAGTCTTGGTTTGATCTGGGGACTGCTGCCTTTCTGATCGTTATTTGACTTGCTTTTGGACTAGGTAACCTGTAAATGCAGCTCAAAACAATTATGCAAACAACCTAAGAGATTAACAGTTGCACAGTGTACATAGTATGGCATACCTACATAGAAGCATAGTATTTTAGCCACGAAAATGGTCATAGAGATCTATACTTAAATGCAATTTTTTTTGATACATGAAAAAAGAGATTACTTTAAATTTGATCCCATTTTGTGTGTTTCAACAAAATAAGAACTTCACATATTCACACAGTAAAGGCCTGTCCACAGTGGACAGGCATGCAGGTGTATGCATGGTGCGTATGCACACAGATATGAAAGGACATGGTATATCTGATATTTCTGTCCTGACACGGAACAGTTCTCATCTGTTAAGGACTTGTTCTACACCATGCACAGTTCCGAGTGTATGTTTAACTCACCTGCCCCTCACAAGAACTCTGAGGAATATACTGTCATCTTGCCAGCTTACCAGACCTCACAGATGTATGTGGCAAGACAGGATTTGATCCCAGGTAGTCTGACTCTAGTGTCTGGGTACACGTTGCATACACAGAATATTAATACATGATTGTGTTGCACAAGAAAGGTTTGGAATAACTTTAAAATGTTCATAAAATTCTATCTGGATGCTAAGTATTTGAGAGATTGCTTGCTTTTTCTTTTTCTTTTTTTTTTTTTTTTTTTGAGACAGAGTCTCACTGTCACTCAGGCTGGAGTGCAGTGGCTCAGTCTCAGCTCACTGCAACTTCCACCTCCTGGGTTCAATCAATTCTCCTGCCTCAGCCTTCCAAGTATCTGGGATTACAGGCACCCTCCACCATGCCAGGCTAATTTTTGTATTTTTAGTAGAGATGGGGTTTTACCATGTTGGCCAGGCTGGTCTTGAACTCCTGATCTCATGATCTGCCTGCCTCGACCTCCCAAAGTGCTGGGATTACAGACATGAGCCCCCGCGCCTGACCTGCTTGCTTTTTCTTAACTGTATTTTTAATTATATGCTGAGAATATGTAATTTTTTTTGAGGCCGGGTCTTGCTCTGTTGCCCAGGTTGAAGTGCAGTGGCATGATCGTAGCTCACTGCAGCCTTGAATTCCTGTTTTCAAGTGATCCTCCTGCCTTGACCTCCCAAAGTGCTGGGATTATAGTTAAGAACTACTGCACCCAGCCCTGTAATTTTTCTTTAAGGAGAAAGGAAAGGTGTTTATTTATTTTTTTTAATGTCAATCTGTAACGTTTTCTTGGTGGTATATTTTTCCCTCCCTCGTAGACACAAATATTAAATATTTGAGATTGAATGATGAGTCTAAACTCTGAGCCAGCTGCAGATGGCATAGATGGGCCCCCTGCACAGTGTTTTACAAACACTGGAATTTAGTTGAGAATGTTTTTCCATACTACCTTTTTCTCAATGTTCTGCACCATTTGATATTCCAGCAGACTACAGGGTGAAGCAGGTGCTGCATGGACCTACAGCCTCATTTCATTCCTCCTCCACAATTACCGAAAACAGAAGATGATGCTTAAGAACCATGGCCAAACGGTGGTAAGCTTTGGAAAGAAATGTGACGTGACTCCTTTAAAGCATATGTACATTGGCAAACTGCAGTTCTCCTGCCCTGGAGACAAGCAGAGAATCTCCAGGAGGCACGGGCAGTGGGGCGCGGTCACCTCGTCAGCTTGTACACTTGCCTTATATGTCACTCATTCAGTCTTCAGAACTACACTGTAAGGTAAGTAGCAATAAGCCCATTTACAGTTGAAAATAGTTAAGACTTTGGTAAGAGGCAGAGTTGATTTCAAACCTGGCCTGCCTCCCTCCAAAGTCATAGTGTTTTGTCTTATCAATGTGAGGGAATTTGGGTGGGTTTTCCCACCTGCAGCACTGTGCCTCCCGTTACCCAGGAAGTTTTTGAAAAACAGATTCTCGTTTTTTTTTTTTTTTTTTTTTTTTTTTGAGACAGGATCTGGCTCTGCCACCCAGGCTGGAGTGCAGTGGTGCGATCTCAGCTCACTACAATCTCTGCCTGCCAGGCTCAAGCGATTTTCCTGCCTCAGCCTCCTGAGTAGCTGGGATTACAGACATGCATCACCATGCCCAGCTAATTTTTGTATTTTTAGTAGGGTTTCACTATGTTAGCCACGCTTGTCTCAAACTCCTGACCTTAGGTGATCTGCCCACGTCAGCCTCCCAAAGTGCGGGGATTACAGGTGTGAGTCACTGCGCCTGGCTGGAAAACAAAATCTTAATACATAGATGGGACCACCTGGACTCTGGACTCTGCTCAACCCATCCAACTCTGTGCTGCCTCTCATGGGCACACATTTTGCCTGCCACAGTGTTCTTCCTAAGATAGGATGTGCCTTCAGCCATTCCTGATTTCTGTGAATAACCTTATTTCAGATCTGTCTGTCCATGAATTGATTTAAAATTGAACTCTATGGATGCAACCTTTGGAAAATAATAAGGGGGGCACCTTTATTACCTACTATCTAAACCTTTTTTTTTTGTTTTGTTTTGTTTTTTTTTTTTTTTTGAGACTGAGTTTCACTCTCGTTACCCAGACTGGAGTGCAATGGCGCGATCTCGGCTCACCGCAACCTCCGCCTCCTGGGTTCAGGCAATTCTCCTGCCTCAGCCTCCTGAGTAGCTGGGATTACAGGCACGCGCCACCATGCCCAGCTAATTTTTTGTATTTTTAGTAGAGACGGGGTTTCACCATGTTGACCAGGATGGTCTCGATCTCTTGACCTTGTGATCCACCCGTCTCGGCCTCCCAAAGTGCTGGGATTACAGGCTTGAGCCACCGCGCCCGGCCTAAACCTTTTATATTACATTTATCTTTCAGCCACCATGCCCGGCCTCACAGTGTATGTATAGTCTTTTGTGTATGATCTGTGTCATCTCGCACGCCGTGAGGTTTGGCCGTGTGGGCGCACGTTCAGGAATCTGTTGCTCTGTGTTGCTGAGTCGCATTCCATCGTGTGGATGTACTACATCTTGTTTATCCATTTGCCAGCTCATGGGCATTTGAATTGTTTCCAGTTTTGACTATTATGAAGAATGCTGATATGAACATCCATATAGAGTTCTTTGTGTAGTCATCCGTTTTCATTTCATTTCCCTTGGATAGTTACCCATGAGTGGAATTGTTTATCCATATAGTGATTTATACTTAACTGTTTAAGGAACTGCCAAACAATTTCAAAATATCTTTCTTGAAGCTAGTGAGTAATGAAGAAGAGGGAGAATTACACTTAGACCTATAATTTCAGCACTTTGGGAGGCCGAGGGGGGTGGATTGCTTGAGCCCAGGAGTTCCAGACTAGGCTGGGCAAAATAGCAATACCTCATCTCTACCAAAAATACAGAAACCAGGCCGGGCGGTGGCTCACATCTGTAATCCCAGCACTTCGGGAGGCCGAGGTGGGTGGATCACCTGAGGTCAGGAGTTTGAGACTAGCCTAGCCAACATGGTGAAACCCTGTCTCTACTAAAAAATACAAAAATTAGCCAGGTGTGGTGGCAGGCACCGGTAATCCCAGCTACTAAGGAGGCTGAGGCAGGAGAATCCCTTGAACGTAGGAGGCGGAAGTTCAGTGAGGTGAGATTGCACCACTGCACACCAGCATGGGCAACAAGAGCAAGACTCCATCTCAAAAAAAAAAGAAAACATACAAAAATTAGCTGGATGTGGTAGTGCATGCCTATAGTCCTAGCTACTCAAGAGGCTGAGGTAGTTAGATCACTTGAGCCCAGGAGGCAGAGGTTGCAGTGAGCCAAAATTGTACCACTTGCACTCCAGCCTGGGTGACAGAGCCAGACCCTGTCTCAAAAAAAAAAAAAAAATGAATGACACTTAGAATTACCAGACTTATCATCCCTCTTATCCGCACTCTCTTTCACTCCTCCACCTTAGACTGCTTAATGTCTTTCTTTATCCGTCATTGAGTCTGTTTATCTTTGTTTCTCAGTAAATCCAGTTTATTCAGAATGAAATTATTTAGCGCTAATCCGAGGGGTTTTTTTCATTGTTTCCCCAACAAGAAATGTGTCTTCTGTCAAATGACACAAATAGGAAATGATCTTGTGTGGTCTTTGTTTCTCTCCTTTATGAAAAAGAAGTCATTTTCTGAAATCACCTTTTTAGTCAGTTGCGGGATTCTGACTGGTCTGTGGTAGCACACACAGCCAGCGTAGACCATCAGCACATGGGCTGCAAGGAAAGTCACACCAATGTCCAGACAATGGGGCCAGGTGGTTTCTGGGTTTTGGCCCCTGCCGTTGGTCTGACTGAGCAAGACTTCCCCTTGTGTCCCTTGCCCTTCAGCCCACTGGCCCTGACCTCTGTTAGAACTGGATGCCCAGCAGCTTTCTGGTTGTCTGTAAATGCCCATGAAGATTCTGAACTGATTCCTCACCAGACAGTTGCTCTACTTAAACCCCAAGGGGCTTTCCCACATGTGAGCAAGCCTCCCACCAGCTTCAGTCCTCCGCACTCCCAAACCAGCAGTATTGTCTCCTAAGATATAACAGGACAGCCTTTGGGGACAGAAACCCCAGGGCCATGTTCCTGCTCCATCACTTTCCATCAATATGGCCTCAGGCAAGGGAATCGTGTAAGTCCAAACTTCTTATTCTCCTAAATGTGGTGCCCACCTTCTGGGGTTTTAAAATTAAATGAGGTCATCATAAAAGTACCTTGTATAGCATTTGCCATGTAGTAACTGCTTAGTAAATGCTAATTTGAGTCTTTTTCTCTCATATTCCGCCACAGAAGCAAGTAACTGATCATGTTTGGGCAAAAGGGAAGAAATGACACCTAGAATCTCCATCCTTTCCCTGCACCCCTTTGTGTTCAGTTCAACAACTTGGTTCTCCTCCTGACCAGCCACTGTGCTTGGCTGAGGACACAAAGATGAAGGAGACAGTCTAGTATAAAACATGACACAGACCAGACCCGAAGGGGAGGAAGAGGTCCTGTAGAAAAGGTGAAGGAACATCATTCACCAAGCCTCTCCAACCTTAGCCAGAGACTGCTGGTGGGCAGCGTGAGCCGTCAGGAAAGACTTGAGATCCAGGATTTAGACCTCAAGGTCCCAGTGTGGACTTCTTCAGTGCTCCACTTCCGTAAAGATTCTGTTCACTTGTTCTCAAAACGTAAGCAGCTTTCCAGTGCCACATATTGACTTCCTTGCCCAAAGGGCATTTCTCATCATCATGTGCTGCAGTGTGTGCTCTCGTCTGTTGCTGCATGATAAACCCGTAAGTCTGCTTAAGTGGCATAAAGCAATTATTTTGTTATGCATGTGATTCTATGGATCAGGAATTTGGACAGCCCAGCAAGCATGGCTTGTCTTTGTTCCGTGGCGCTGGGGCTTCTGCTGGGTACCAGAACCATCTAGCAATTCCTTCCCTCGCCTGGTATTTGGGCCAGGAAGATGAAGTTTAAGGTCACTTAGGACGGTAAACAGAGCATCGCAAGTGGTCTTTTCATGTGACTCGGGCTTCTTATAACACAGTAGCTGGGTTCTGACGGCGTGTTCCGGAAGGGAGCTTCCAGAGAGTGAACACTGTAACAGAAGCAGGCAGAAGCTGCATGGCCCTTTGAGACCTAGATGCAGAAGTCACATAGTATCAGACCACTGTACTCTACTGCTCAAGGCAATCATGGCCCAGATTCAAGGTGAGGAAACACAGATCCCCATCCCTTGATGGGAGACATGACAAAGAATTTGTGGCCATTTAAAAAAAATCATCACATGTGCACTCAGTGCTATGTGGCAGCACACTCCAATTTGTGTATTTCTGTCCATTCCACTAAAGGTCTGAAAGCCCAGCGAGCATGAATTGAGGTCCAAGGCCCCACTGATAAGGAACAGGAGGCTATTGGCTAAATGGTTCATTTAGTCTGTGTTTAGTGAATTGAATCCCTTTGTCTCTTTTGCAAATTGCTGGGCCCCTGGTGGTCTCACCAGATATTAACTGAAGGGGAATTAACTGGACACAGGCAGGAAATCCACGGTGTGAACCCCCCACCAGTCAGAGTCTATGGAGGTGTAAGGTGATGGGCACTGCACACAAAGCTCAGTGAGGTTTCTTTGTTTCTTATCTTTGGGTGAAATCTTTTGATTTGATTTCTGATCAAGACCTGCAGTCTGTCCAATTACTTCAACTTCCTGTAATTTTTACTAAGCAATGGTATCTTTTTACAGAATGCTTTGGCTGTCATGGACCACCTGACCTCTTTTCTGGGGTCTTTGAAAGCAGGAAGTGTCTCAAGAAGTGCCCATTGAGGAGTCCCCAGAGTTTCAGGTCGTATCCCTTCTGGTATGATGGGTGAGCCCCTCAGCATTTAGCTATTTTAGTAGGTGGGTTTTTTTTTTTTTCATTTACCCAATAGATATTCATTCAATACTTACTCTAAACCCCATGCAACTGCGTAGGACACATTTCCTGACCCTCAGGGAGCGCACAGATCTATTAATGAACAGTACAGTATTGTGAGGGGTAGACAGTGACAGGGATGAGCTCAGAGTGCTGTGAGTGCCAGATCCAGTCTCAGACTTGATGTGGAGCAGAGGCTGGTCAGGGAAGGCTTCTCAGAGTTCAGCCAGATGAAGAATGAGAGAAGGAGAAAAGACAGGCATGGGGAGAGCAGAAAGTGCTTCTCAAAGGAAAGCAGCATCTGCAAAGATCCAGGGTCTGCAGAGACAATGGAGACAATTCCAGAAATTGGTGACATGTACCTCAATCTGTCTGGAGTTGGAATGGACAGAGATGAGGCAGGAGAGATGCAGGGACCAGAGCTCTCTCCAGCCAGATTGTAGTATCCTGAAAAATTGGTTATTTTTACACATCGTTTGTCCTCTGAGGTTTCTAGGTTCATGTCTTCAACTTTGATGGTGTTTAATAAGGATAATAACATTCATAAAGTGGTTTTAATGTGTTATTTTGTATATAGTATCTCATTCAGTCTTTATGAGGACCTTTTGAAGAAATAGGGCAGGTGACATGCAGCTCAATTTACATTTTAGGAAAATCAAGAGGTAGGAAGAATTGTGATTTATACAGAATCAGGGCCTGAAACTCAGACCCAAGTTGCTTGCCTCCAAATCCCACACGCTTCTCACTATGCAGATTGCCTTGATCGAGCTGCGAGGAGAAAGTTGTGTGATATTTGAGAAAACTCACAACACAGAAGAACAGTATTTCAGCCTCACCTGGCATGACAGTCAGCTCAGGTCTAAGCTGTGGCCCCAGGTTTCGGTGATTGACCCATGAGTCTTGTGTGTGTCTCTGGAGATCAGAATGCCTGGTATATGCAGGTCCCCAATGGACACAGGTCAGGGAGCAAGCAATCCTCTATCCATACTGGAAGATGTGTTCACAAGGCTGGGCATCCCTCTCAGACAAAACCCACTATCATATCTCTTCTGGTTTAATTCATGCTTTGACACACAGCAAATTCCCCAGAAACTTAGCTGAAGAGTTCTGTGAGCAGGAAGTACCTTTGATAGAAGTGAGATGAGAGAGGGTACATGGAACTGTATTAATAGTTGAGCAGGCAAATGACGACTCTCGGTTTTTCTCTGGAAGGGAGCTCGTCCTTGAGGTGAAACAGGGGCTGAGGAGGCATGAGAGAGGGCAGAGAAGCACTACAGACTGACATCAATTTGAGGCCCTCCGATGCTAAGAATATCACAACTTCCCCGCTGGGCAACTGGGTTTATCTGTCCACTGACTGCCATGATCGGCACCATTTGCAAAGTCCAAAGAACAAATATGGTGAAGTACTCAAGAAACTCACTGAAGAGTTTATTTGTAGTGGACCAGAGGTCATTGTGCTGCTGCTGCCAGCACCCCGCCCCCACCTGAGTGATCTTGTTAAGCCTTTCATGGTTTTGTACTCTTAAAATTGTGATTACCTGGAACCAAATCTAACCATACTAAAGGCTTTCACTAGATGGGATTTTTGCAATACTAAATATCTACAAGAAAAACGAGCTGTTAGGTGGAGGACTAGTTTTATCTAGCTTTCTATTAAAAGCTTCTGTGATTGTCTGATAGGCTGACTACAGGGAGGTATTGTTGAAATAAATACATACTCCAGATACTGTCCTGAAGTCACTGCAGATTCATCTCAGTCTCATTGCAAACTCCATAGAAACCAACCTGGAAAAAGATGGAATTCTGATTGTTCAGGAGACAGAAGTGGAGGATGGAGAAGAGACTGAGATAACCATCTGGTTTTCTTTTTTTTTTTTTTTTTTTTTTTTTTTTTTTGAGATGGAGTTTCGCTCTCGTTACCCAGGCTGGAGTGCAATGGCGCGATTTCGGCTCACCGCAACCTCCGCCTCCTGGTTCAGGCAATTCTCCTGCCTCAGCCTCCTGAGTAGCTGGGATTACAGGCACGTGCCACCATGCCCAGCTAATTTTTTGTATTTTTAGTAGAGACGGGGTTTCACCATGTTGACCAGGATGGTCTCGATCTCTCGACCTCGTGATCCACCCGCCTCGGCCTCCCAAAGTGCTGGGATTACAGGCTTGAGCCACCGCGCCCGGCATAACCATCTGGTTTTCTTTCCACTCTGGGCACCAGAATTTTGCGTCTTAATAGCCAGGAAGGATCCACCCATCTCAAGAATTCACATAGAGCTATGCTTTTGAGAGCAGCCAACTCTTCACTCGGATATAAAACCTCAGTGCCCATGTTACTTGAATAGTAACATGTAAAGTGTGAATACCACACAGCAGGTGTGAACTGAACTTTCAGTCTCTCCTCACTGAGCAGGCCACTTCAACATCACATTGGTTCCAACTGCTCCTCTTAGTGACCAATTTTGCCATTTTCTGCTACTATATCTTTATACACTGAAATTTCCCCTTCTTCATTTCAGTCCTTGGTCTTTGAACCTTAAAAGTCTCTAAGATCCATTTTTTTCTTTTTTGATATGGAGTCTTTCTCGGTCACCCAGGCTGGAGGGCAATAGTGCGATCTCAGCTCACTGCAACCTCTGCCTCCTGGGTTCAAGCGATTCTCCTGCCTCATCCTCCCAAGTAGCTGGGACTAGAGGCATGCACCACCATGCTCAGCTAATTTTTTTTTATTTTTAGCGGAGACAGGGTTTCACCATGTTGGCCAGGCTGGTCTTGAATTCCTGACCTCAAATGATCTGCCTACCTCAGCCTCTGAAAGTGCTGGGATTACAGGTGTGAGCCACCATGCCCAACCTTTAAGATCCATTCCTTATGGAAATGTTATTAAGCTCCAATATTCTCTACAAAAATACTTGTAGCCTGCATCCCTTTGTTAAATTCAGGACAACTTTCATTCATTCATTTATTCATTCATTCAACTATTAGTGAGTACCTAATACATGCTAGGCATTGAGAATAAAATGATAAGCACTTTATCACCCCATTTCTGTCTTTTTAAAGGAATATTGAGATACTATCAATAGCAATAATAATAAAAGCATGACCCATGCCTTCGAAAGGTTTAGTGAGTAGGAGAGGTAGAGTTCAATACAGTCTCATGGGCACCACAGTGAGAGACAGTACAGAGTGGCAGAGCAGCACAAGACGGGTTCACAATCCAGGCCTGGGCAGCCAGGCATTAACTTACTGCAGAGCTGGGCACGGTGGCTCAAGCCTGTAATTGTAGCACTTTGGGAGGCCGAGGCAGGTGGATCGCGAGGTCAAGAGATCGAGACCATCCTGATCAACATGGTGAAACCCCGTCTCTACTAAAAATAAAAATTAGCTGGGCATGGTGGCACGTGCCTGTAATCCCAGATACTCAGGAGGCTGAGGCAGGAGAATTGCCTGAACCCAGGAGGTGGAGGTTGCGGTGAACCGAGATGGCGCCATTGCACTCCAGCCTGGGTAACAAGAGCGAAACTCCGTCTCAAAAAAAAACAAAAACAAAACAAACAAAAACAATATACAAAAAATTAGCTGGGCATGGTGGCGCCTGCCTGTAATCCCAGCTACTCAGGAGGCTGAGGCAGGAGAATTGCCTGAACCCAGGAGGCAGAGGTTGCAGTGAGCCAAGGTCAGGCCATTGCACTCCAGCCTGGGTAACAAGAGTGAAACTCCGTCTCAAAAAAAAAAACCTTACTGCAGAGCCAGACAGGGCTTCAGGTGCACGTGGTTTATGGAGGGAATGCTCTAAGGAGAAAGGCAGTGAGGGAAGGGTACAGGGCAAGAGAATAAAGGTAAGCAAGGAGACTACTTTCAGCTTAAACCAAGTATTTAGTTCATGCTTCTGCTGTGTGGTTCTTTGGTCTGGAACAGGCTACACTGATGTTGGCTTGGCTCCCTCATGTATCTAGGGGTGGGGGTCAGATCAGGCTGCTAGTTCCAGAGAAATTCACACGCATTAATTTCACCACAAAGTTGAACTCACCTTGAGTCAAGGGGGCCAGTCTTTTAACCTTCCATCCATGTCAGCCAGCCAGGCTGCAGGCTGCCACCTGTGGGAATGGAGGACCAGTTTACAGTGGGGAGGTGGTAGGGAGTTGGCCTTAAAAAAGAGAGGGCATCTGTGAGCTGTTAGCAGCTAGTGCTCACAGTAGCTGGGGACTGGGTACACCACTTCATAAAGGAAAGCTGGGTGGGCATCATCAGCATCTGCTATAGGTCTGAATGATGAGCAACAGTTGGTCAGGTGACTAGCAGGGGAAGCGTATTCCAGGTTAAAGAAACAGTCTATGCAGGCTGGGCGTGGTGGCTCACGCCTGTAATCCCAGTACTTTGGGAGGCCAAGACGGGAGGATCGCCTGAGGACAGAGGAGTTCAAGACCAGCCCAGCCAACATGGTGAAACCTCATCTCTACTAAAAGTACAAAAATTAGCTGGGTGTGGCAGCAAGCGCCTGTAATCTCAGCTCCTCGGGAGGTTGAGGCAGGAGAATCACTTAAATCCAGGAGGCAGAGGTTGCAGTGATCAGAGATTGCACCATTGCACTCCAGCCTGGGTGACAAGATCGATATTTCGACGCAAATAAAGAAAAAAGAAACAGTCTATGCAGGCCAGGCACAGTGGCTTGCGCCTGTAATCCCAGCACTTTGGGAGGCCGAGGCAGCAGAGTCACTTGAGCCTGGGAGGCAGAGGTTGCAGTGAGCAGAGATTGCACCATTGCACTCCAGCCTGGGTGACAAGACCGAGACTTCGATGCAAATAAAGAAAAAAGAAACAGTCTATACAGGCCAGGCGCGGTGGCTCGCGCCTGTAATCCCAGCACTTAGGGAGGAAAAGGCAGCCAGATCACCTGAGGTCAGGAGTTCAAGACCAGCCTGGCCAACATGGGGAAACCCTGTCTCTAATAAATATAAAAACTAGCTGGATGTGGTGGTACATACCTGTAGTCTCAGCTATTTGGGAGGCTGAGGCATGAGAATCGCTTGAACCCGGGAGGTGGAGGTTGCAGTGAACTGAGATGATGCCACTGCACTGAAGTCTGGGTGACAGAGCGAGACTCCATCTCAAAAATAAAATACAGAGAGAGAGTTATCACAAAAGTGATAAAATTCTAATTCATCAAGAAGATACATCAATACTAAACATGCATATGCATAAAATAAAATATATATAAAGGTACATCATAAAATTAAAAATACAGGCTGGGCATTGTGGCTCACACCTGTAATCCCAGCACTTTGGGAGGCCGAAGCGGGCAGACCACTTGAGGTCAGGGGTTCAAGACCAGCCCGACCAACATGGTGAAAGCCTATCTCTACTAAAAATACAAAAAAAAAAAAAAAAAAAAAAAATTAGCCAGACCTGGTGGCAAGTGCCTGTAATCCTAGCTACTCAGGAGGCTGAGGCAGGAGAATTGCCTGAACCTGGGAGATGGAGGTTACAGTGAGTTGAGATGGTGCCACTGCACTCCAGCCTGGTGACAGAGCAAGACTCTGTCTCAAAAAATAAAATTAAAAACTAAAAATATAAAGATGCATCAATTCTAAACATGCAGATGCATAAAATAAAATATATGAAGAAAATTGATACAGCCACCAAAAAACTAGAAAAATCTTCCATTGTATGGCATTAAAAAGCTGATGGAATAGTAAGAAAGAGATAAATAAATCATTCAGAGACAACGTTGGCTTTTTTTTTTTTTTAAAACAGAGTTTCACTCTGTCACTCCGGCTGGAGTGCATTGGCATGAACACAGCTCACTGCAGCCTCAACCTCCTGGGTTCAAGCAATTCTCTTGCCTCAGCCTCCCCAATAGCTGGGACCACAGATGCCGGCTAATTTAAAATTTTCTGTTATAGAAACTTGGGCTCTCACCCAACCAGTGATGTCGGCCGCCGCCGTGACTCCGGAAGGACTCGCCGGGCCGCCGGATGTGACGCAGGGCCCAGGGCGCGCCGGAGCCGCGGAGAAAGCGCTGAGAAGGCGGGTCTCGTCTGAGGTCTGGCAGTGATAGACAGCCGGGCGTCCACGGCAGCACCATGCCTGCACTCCTGGAGCGCCCCAAGCTTTCCAACGCCATGACCAGGGTGCTGCACCGGCACATTATGATGGAACTGGAGCGCAAGCGGCAGGAGGAAGAAGATGTGGACAAGATGATGGAACAGAAGATGAAGGAAGAGCAAGAAAGAAGGAAGAAAAAGGAAATGGAAGAGAGAATGTCACTAGAGGAGACTAAGGAACAAATTCTGAAGTTGCAGAAGCTTTTGGCCCTACAAGAAGAGAAGCACCAGCTTTTCCTGCAGCTCAAGAAAGTTTTACATGAGGAAGAAAAACGGAGGCGCAAGAAACAAAGTGACCTGACCACCCTGACATCAGCTGCATACCAGCAGAGCCTGACTGTTCACACAGGAACTCATCTTCTCAGCATGCAGGGGAGCCCTGGAGGAGACAATCGCCCAGGCACCCTTATGGCAGCTGACAGAGCCAAACAAATGTTTGGACCCCAAGTGCTTACGACCCGGCACTATGTGGGCTCAGCGGCTGCTTTTGCGGGGACACCAGAGCATGGACAATTCCAAGGCAGTCCTGGTGGAGCCTATGGGACTGCTCAGCCCCCACCTCACTATGGGCCCACACAGCCAGCCTATAGTCCTAGTCAGCAGCTCAGAGCTCCTTCGGCGTTCCCTGCAGTGCAGTACCTATCTCAGCCACAGCCACAGCCCTATGCGGTGCACGGCCACTTTCAGCCCACTCAGACAGGTTTCCTCCAGCCTGGTGGTGCCCTGTCCTTGCAAAAGCAGATGGAACATGCTAGCCAGCAGACGGGCTTCTCTGACTCATCCTCTCTGCGCCCCATGCACCCCCAGGCTCTGCATCCAGCCCCTGGACTCCTTGCTTCCCCCCCAGCTCCCTGTGCAGATCCAACCAGCAGGAAAGTAAAGATGTCAGTACCAACCAGGTGGACCTGTATGTATGCATCACAAAGAGAAACCCAACCAAACTCTAAGATGGAGAAAATAAAGGCTCAACTTGATCTTGCCTGATGAGGGAAGTCAGACTACATTGTTGGGGCAAAGACTGGGAGTGTTGGAACTGAACCAATCAACTAAAGAAACAGTAAAGCCTCTTAAAAGAAAAAACAACAACCAACAGAGGCTAAAAGACCACCACTGAGATTGGGGTTGACAGCACAAGAGAAAACAGCATGGCAGGCTTGCAGAAGACAGTTGATGCTAAGAGTCTAGGGGAGGCGGGAGGAGTCTGGGTAAAAGTTTGGAAGAGTTTTCTGGACACCAGGATAAGGAACTGAGAAATTGGGAAATAAGGTAGAAGGAAACGGCTAAGAAAACAAGAAGAAATGTGAAAGAGCTGAAAAGAAAAAGGGACTTGCAGGGAGATCAGAAATAACTATGCAGCCAGAAAATAAGGATGCCAGAAGAGCACAGAGAAGGATCTAGTCATTAGGGAATAACACAAGATCAACATCAAGTCAAAAGATGGAAAAACTGATTAAGGAAGATCACCACAAGAAACTCAACAAGAACCAGGTTGAAAAAATTGTAAAGAGACAGGATAAGTCTGAGGTGATGAGGGAAGTGCTAGCAAGAATGTTAAAACCCAAGAAAGCATGGAGGCTCAAGGAGAGTGGGATGGGGCAGGTAGGGGGAGTGTGATCCTGCAACAGAGTACCAAAGGGAAAGCTAGAACTGAGGAATCAAGCAGCAAAGTGATCTGAGAGTTCAGAATTAATGCAGGAGTCCCTCCCTCCAGGGGAAGGCCTCATTCTGTCAGAATTGGAGAAACCTTGGGCATAGTAATGGAAACAACCACCTACAATGGCTCAAGGGAAGAGAGAAACAGAAAAAGTGAAAACCAAGAATAAGGAAGGAGCAACTGAACAGCTAGAGCATAAAGGCCTGTGAATTGAAGTTAAGAGACTGGCACAAAGCTGGGGAAATGGAGGGAATGCCAGAGAATGATGGGGGGACAGAAGGGTAACCGCAAGAGGCTGAAGACTGGGGAGCAGGTGTAGTGGTCTCAATGGGGGCTGAGTCCTAAACAAAAGGAATCAGACAATCAAAGCAAAGTCAAAGGAAGGTCAGCACTGTTGGCAGCTTACTGCTGGGAGCGCCAAGGATACTGGAGACATGGGGAAAGCAAGATGTGGAGGTGAAATTCTAACCTTGGCGTGGCTGTGCTTGCCAGTCTTCGAAGTAGACATCTCGACGATCTTACATGGCCGGCCTTTGAGCACCACAAAGCCATTCTTACGTAATGCTGAGCACTGCATTGGGAAGGTGGCTGAGGCCCCTGCATCTCCTGTCTCGAAGTCCAAATCATCTGCCATTTTAAGAGGCTTCGATTCCAACTAGAGCCAAGAAGAGAACTGAAGTGAATAAGCATGGAGGTTAACAGGACCTCCAATCTATCCCATTTCTCTCTAGAAACATTTTCCCAACTCTTTATTCCATTACCCACCTAAAATAAAGTCAAAGTTCCTGAACTTAAAAAAAAAAAAAAAAAAAAAAAAGAAAGAAACTTGGTCTCACTATGTTGCCCAGGCCAGTCTCAAATATCTGGGCTCGGGTGATCCTTCTGTCTCAACCTCATAAAATGCTGGGATTACAGGCATGACCCACCACACCCAGCCACATTTGCATTTTATTATCCACAGTAAACTAAGTATAAAACTTAAAACTCTGTTTGGAAGGGTTTCCCAAAGTTGGGAAGTCTAATAGGAGGCTGATCCACATTAGGCTGAGTGACTATACCTGGGGGATGCACTCATCAGGGTAGGAGTATAACAGGTGGAAAGCAAACCCCTTAAATTCCCCTCTGGGCAACCCCATGAATTCCCCTGAGGAACCCCTCTGAATTCTCAGGGAGTGTAGGGACAAGTACCTTGATGCTGAGCAAGGCAGAAATAACTAAAAACCCATCCCTGCTAGGTTGTGAGCACAGGCTAGCCCTAGTGTCGATTTATGTTCCAAATTTGTGTCACAGGATTAGTCCAATAAACTTAAGGTGATTAATTAGAGCATTATACAAAACTGATATTGCTACTCTATGTCTGACAGAAGCAAATTCAAAATTATTTTTGGAATACAGGCATGGGCCACGATGCCTGGCTAAGTTTTGTATTTATAGTAGAAATGGGGTTTTATCATATTGGCCAGGCTGGTCTCGAACTCCTGGCCTCAAGTGATCTGCCTGCCTCGGCCTCCCAAAATGCTGGGATTACAGATATGTGCCACCATGCCTGGCCAGTATGGCAAAATGTCTAATGTAAAAAGAGATACAGATCTTTCCATGATAATTTTTTTTTTTTTAAGACAGAGTTTCGCTCTTGTTAACCAGGCTGGAGTGCAGTGGCGCGACCTCAGCTCACCGCAACCTCCGCCTCGTGGGTTCAGGCAATTCTCCTGCCTCAGCCTCCTGAGTAGCTAGGATTACAGGCACACGCCACCGTGCCCAGCTAATTTTTTGTATTTTTAGTAGAGACGGGGTTTCACCATGTTGACCAGGATGGTCTCGATCTCTTGACCTCGTGATCCACCCGCCTCAGCCTCCCAAAGTTCTGGGATTACAGGCTTGAGCCACCGCGCCCGGCAGTTCATGAGAAATTTTAATTCACCAGTAAGACATAAATAGTTTATATTTGTTTATACCTAAGAACATGATCTTAAAACATATGATGCAAAAATGTGTAGAATTACAAGAAGTTAAATCCAAAATTAAAATAGAAGATGCTAAACAATTCTCTCAGGACTTAATAGAACAGATAAAATATTAGACAGAATATTTGATTCACATAATTAACAAATTTAACCTAACAAAAGGATATAGAACACACCACTCCAAACTGCATAATATTCATTCTTTACAAGCAGATACGAAACATTTGCAAAAACTGGCATGCATTAGGTCACAAAGCAAATCCCAGTACATTTCACAGAACTAAAAACAGAACATATACTCTGAACTCAATCCAGCTAAGCTGGAAATTAATAACCAAAAAATAATCAAATGATTCTTATATATTTGCAACTGAGAAAATACATTTCTAAATTACTGATGGTTGGTTGTTTGAGACGGCCTGTCACTCTGTTGCCCAGCCTGGAGTACAGTGATGCAATCTTTGCTCACTACAGCCTCCACCTCCTGGGTTCATGCAAATCTCCTGCCTCAGCCTCCCAAGTAGCCAGGATTACAGGTATGCACCACCATGCCCAACTTATTTTTGTATTTTTAGTAGAGATGGGATTGCACCATGTTGCCCAGGCTGGTCTCCAACTCCTGACCTCAAGTAATCCACCCGCCTCAGCCTCCCAAAGTGCTGGGATTATGGGCATGAGCCACTGTGCCTGGCCCTCATGGTTTTAAAAGGATTTTTAGATATAGTTTGAGCTGAGTAATATAGAAGGCACTACATATCAAAACCTATGCGATATAGCTAAATCTGTATTAAGAGGGAAAGTGATAGCCTTAAATGTGTTTATTAGAGAAGAAATTCTGAAATTTAATGAGCAAAACAACTTCAAGAAGTAAGGAGGGCCCAGTGCGGTGGCTCATGCCTATAATTTCAGCTACTCAGGAAGCCAAAGTGCAAGGATCATTTGAGGCCAGGAATTCCAGGCCAGCCTAAACAACACAGCAAGATCCTGTATTAGAAAAAAAAAATTTTTGGTCAGGCATGATGGCTCACACCTGTAATCCCAGCACTTTGGGAGGCTAAGGTGGGAGGATCACCTGAGGTCAGAAGTTTTGAGACCAGCCTGGCCAACATGGTGAAACCCTGTCTCTATAAAAATACAAAAATTAGCTGGGCCTGATGGCAGGTGCCTGTAGTCCCAGCTACTCGGGAGGCTGAGGCAGGAGAATTCCTTGAACCCAGGAGGCAGAAGTTGCAGTGAGCCAAGATCATGCCACTGCACTCCAGCCTGGGCAACATAGTGAGATGCCATCTCAAAAAAAAAAAAAAAAAAAAACAAATTTAAGTAAGGAGGGAATGGGAAGAGACTGATTAATGGGTTCAAAGTTACAATTATTTAGGAGGAATAAGTGCTGATGTCATATTGCACAGTAGGATGACTATTATAGTTAACAATAATGTATTGACGATTTCAAAATAGCTGGAAGAAAGGATTTTGAGTGTTTTCCCTAAAAAAATGATAAATATTTGAGGTGATGGATATGCTAATTATACTGATTTAATCAGCATACAAAGTATGCATATATTGAAACATCACATTGTACCCATAAATATGTACAATTAGTATGTGTCAATTAAAAATTTTTAATTACATTTTTTCAGAGAAAAAACAATTTAGTCTCTTAAAAGCTTGCTTTTTCTTTTTTTCTTTCTTTCTTTTTTTTTTTTTTGAGACAGGATCTCACTATGTCATCCAGGCTGAAGTGCAGTGGCCCCATCAAAGCTCACTACAGCCTCGACCCCTTGGGCTCCAGCCATCCTCCCATTCAGCCTCCCAAGTGCCTGGGACAACAGGCACATGTCACCATGCCCAGCTACTTTTTTATTTTTTGTAGAGACAGGGTCTCACTATGTTGCCCAGGCTGGTCTCAAATTCCTATTCTCAGAAATCCTCTCACCTTGGCTTCCCAAAGTGCTGGGATTACAGATGTGAGTCACCATTCTCCCAGCCAAGCGTGCCTTTTTGACAATAAAAATCTATCCTTTCTTACCAAAAAAAGAAAAACTAAGATTTTTTTTATGTGAAAGAAAGAAATACATATAAAAGCAGAAATTAATGAAATAGAAAAATACATATTGAATAGAGAACATCAACAAAGCCAGCAGTTTTTTATTTTCAAAGACTAGTAAGTTGATAAATTCAGGAAGGAAAAGTGTTTCCTCACCTCTGTAAGTGTTTTAGCCTAAGAGCTAAAGAAATCTTTCTTCATTAGGAAAATCTGAATCTACCCTCTGAAACAATCAATGTGACTTTGTTGGGTTTCAGAAGGACAGAATTGTAAGGGAACTCAAC